GAAGAGTAACTGGCCAGCTCCCCCAGGTCCCTCCCTAACACTATACGTTCGCGAGAGGAAGGTCGCATTCGCGAAAGGTAAACCCCCCACTACTTTGCTTTCGTGACCAACTCCTCGCATTCTCTATGAAGGAATTCCTCCCTAGCCTAGATTCCCCTTCGCAATCGCGGAGCACATTGCACCAGACACTAGAAAACTAGCCGAAGGCTGCTACTCTAAGTCCATAAATGACCCGTAGCCTATCCAAAACTCATCCGAACCCCTCGGGCTCCAAACCAAACATGCACACAAGTGTAATAACATCATACGAACTCTTATATTTTTGATAATTTATTTTATCTCCAAAACCCAAAAAAATACCAAAATTCCCTAAGAAAGGAGTGAAAACTAGAGTGTGTAATTGGTCTAAAGATAATAAGTTAAAAAAATTAATACAAATCGTTTAGAAGAAAAGATGATGAAATATGATAACTTAAACATAGAAAAATTACAGGAGAAAATGAGCAATAAGTGAAATAAGTTTCAAGAATTTTTACCTGAAGGAAGAAGCTTCAATGACCTCAGGTTTGGAATCTTCAATTTGGGAACATGAAGTTAGGGTTTTTGATATAGGTGGGAAGAAGTTAGATTTCTTTGATTTAGGCAGAAAAGTCTTCTGATTTTGGGGAAAAGTTGATGCCTTATGACCCTAGCCTTAGTTAGTGGTCTTTTTTATTTTACATTTGTTTACGTCTGTTATTCTTTTTGCGCTTTATTTAGCTTGCTAGACAACATAATTTTACACAAATAGCCGGTCATATTCATTGTTTACTTTTNTATATATATATATATATATATATATATATATATATATATATATATATATATTAATTTTATTTCATATAAAATAAATTTAAAAATTATGTACATAAATATTGTCACGACCCAAAACCAACCATCGTGATGGAGCCTATCGTAGAACTAGGCAACCCACTACTCAACATNCAGCTATTTTTAGTTTAAGTGGTTGGGTGGACGACTATTTGGGTTAATTCTTCCTAGACATATATGGAGTGGACTAAAATTGCAAGTCCAAATATGATGCAAAACATAAAAAGTCTGATAAATTGAAATATATATATNTCTCTCTCTATATATATATATATATATATATATATATATATATATATATATATATATATATATATATATATATATATATATATATATATTATAATTTTATTTCATATAAAATAAATTTAAAACTTATATACATAAATATTGTCACGACCCAAAACCAACCATCGTGATGGAGCCTATCGTAGAACTAGGCAATCCACTACTCAACATCTCAACATAGTAAAAACTTTAAAAATAAAGACAGAAGCAATTTATATTTAAGAAAAGCCTTTTCAAAACAGAAATAATCTAAAATACGATACAATCTATCCAAAAACCGGGGTGTCACAAAGTTCCTGAGAATCTATGTCGGAATACAGTCTACTACAATGTCTAAGGAATAAAAACGGAAGTACAGATAGAGATAATGAAGGAGAGTCAAGGCCTGTGAACGCCATACAGCTACCTCGATAGTCTCCGAATCCTGCCTCCTCGATAAAGCACCTGGATCTGCACACGAGGTGCAGGGTGTAACATGAGTACAACCAACTCAGTAAGTAACAAGTCCATCCTTTGGGCTGAAAGGTAGTGATGGACTCAACCGGCACAGTTCAAAATAGAAATAACAGTTCAGAAACGTAGGCATGCTTCAAGTTAAATAGGTAGCTCAAACCAGTAAAATAGATCAAGTCTGAACAATGTGAAGAACATAACTTTTCTACTTCTACATGCCGATGCACATGCTGTATGTGATGCACCATACTGACAGCCTCACACTCTCAAATGCTCAATCACTCGATACTGTATATGGCCCATGCGGCCTAGGGAAGATCCATCCCGAAATATATTCACATCACTGACCATCAGTCATCCAGTACCGAGTAAGGCATATCCAGACCATGGAGAATATCCATATCCAGGTATATAATACTTCGGACAAGATCCATGTTCAGGGAAGATCCATCGCTCAATAATATCAACCGCGTTGGGGTGTGTACAGATTCCGGAGGGCCTCCTTCAGCCCAAGCGCTATCATAAATTAGTATAACCGCTGCGACGTGCAGCCCGATCTCATAGCTGTCACTCATAACCAGGCCCTCGGCTTCACTCAGTCATCAATCTCTCCAGCCTCACTCACGGGCTCACAATATCATGAAACTAGCTTGAAAACAATGATATGATGTATCTGTAAATAACAACTGAGACTGAGACATGATATGAAATGAATGAATATGACTAAGTATGCAATATCAATAAAATCAGTAAGATGATAGCAAGAAACGACCACTATGGGTCCCAATAGTAGCAGCATAAATCCTAAACATGATATCTAACATGATTGACAGCTCAATTACTTTATCACATAATGAAAGCACGGATATCAACAAGATAGATCCACTATACAGTGCCAAGGAATCGACCAGGTCATAATTTTCATGGTGCACGCCCGCACGCCTGACACTTGGCATGTGAGTAACCATAATACCAATCACATAACACATAATTCGGGGTTTCGAACCCTCAGAACCAAGTTTGAAAGTGTTACTTACCTCAATCCGGGCAAAACTCTACTCTATAATGCCTTTGCCTCTCAAATCGATCTCCAAACTTCTGAATCTAGCCACAAGCTGTACAACACAATTAATATAGGCTAAAGGGATCAATTCCACAAGAAAAATACTAAATTATAGCCAAAATACAAAATCGGCTCAAACCCGACCCCTGGGCTCACGTCTCGAAATCTGACAAAAGTCTCAAAACCCGAAAGCCCACTCACTCACGAGTCTCACCATACCAAATTTACTCAAATCCGATAACAAAATCCCATTCCAAACCTCAAAAATCTACTCAAGAACTCTTCCTCATTTTCCCCAATTTTTCACCCAGTTCACAAATTAGATGATGGAGTTAAAGGCATAATCATGGAATTTAACCAAAATTAGATAGGAATCACTTACCCCAAACACCCGCGCAAGAATCTCTCCAAAAATCTCCTTCTACCGAGCTCCCACTTTAATTTTTGTGTTATGAGATCAACCCCTTGTTTTGAAATATTTAATGTCTGCCCAGGTGTACCTTCGTCGCGAACGCGACCTTCCTCTCGCGTTCGCGTACACCAATCTACCTGCCTCTCAATTTAACACTTCGCGACATGACCACAGCTTCGCGAACGCGAATCTTTCCCAACTCCACTCTTCGCGAACGCGACCCCTGCCCCTAACGCGTAGACCAAGGTCTTGGGGTCCCCAACTGCTTCCATCTCTTCGGGAATGCAACACCTCTACCGCGTTCGCGATGCAAACACAGACCATACCTTCGCGTTCATGTCCTCTTCTTCGCGAACGCGAAGAACAAAATCTTCCCAGCTCATAGACACCCTCCGCGAACGCGAGACTCCTCTCGCGAACGTGTAAGAGGAAACCAGAAGAAACACACCAGCAGTTATCAGCTAACAACCTAAGTTCAAAAATGATCCGTTAACCACCTGAAACTCACCTGAGGCCCCCGGGACCTCAACCACACATACCATCATGTCCCGATACATCATACTAACTTAGTCGAACCCTCAAATCACCTCAAACAACATCAAAAACACAAATTACATACGGATTCAAGCCTAATGAACTTTGAAATTCTAAATTCAACACACGACGTCGAAAGCTATGAAATCACGTCAGATTCACCTCAAGTTTTGCACACAAGTCATAAATGACACCGCGAACCTACTCCAACTTTCAAAAATTCAATCCGACCACGATATCAGAAGGTTCACTCCCGGTCAAACTCTCCAAGATTCCAACTTTCGCCATTTCAAGCCTAATTCTGCTACGGATCTCCAAATCACAATCTGGATAAGCTCCTAAGTCCAAATTCACCTAACGGAGCTAACGGAACCATCAAAATTCAAATCCGAGGTCGTTTACACCTAAGTCGACATCCGGTCAGCTTTTCCAACTTAAGTTTTCAATTAAGAGACTAAGTGTCTCAATTCACTCTGAAATCTCTCCAGACCCGAACCAACCAACCTGGTAAGACGTATAACAGTTGTAGAACACAAAAGGAGCAAAAAATGGGGGACTGGGCTACAACTCTCGAAACGACCAGCTGGGTCATTATAAATATCGGGTTGGTTTGGTCTCGGATTAACTTTTTTAGTTAATATCAAACCAGACATATTATAGTTGGGTTTTTTGACATGCAAAACCAAATCAAACCAAACCATTACCCGTTTATTTTCTTTTTGACTGTATTTGTTTGTTTTGTGTGGTTTATCGGTTTCCTTTGTACACCCTAACCAACGATGATGAAATGAAAATATGTTATTATCTAATGTGCTTTATCGGCGTAGTTCTATTTTTAGATAATATTTTGAACAATTAGTATTCGGCCAAAATTCCATGAATGACAATATTGTCCTATTTCTAATAATTAATTGTACTTTCATCCAAAAACAAAATGAAAAATAAAGTTGTCTCATTTCGAATAGCTAAAATCATTTTTGGCCATTTAACCTTCTATTGGATTCCATGAATAAATTAAAAACTATTTAACATGATGAGTGTATATTAAAATATTTTGTCTATAAAAGCATGTTGATTTGCAAACCTTTTGTTGCTTGACGAGGGTTGAACAGTAGCTACGAATAGTAATTAGATAAATTATAATTACTAGGCTCTAAACTATAGTGGTTTATGAAAATTCCTCTATCTTTTACCCAACAAAGCCCAAGACAAAATAAAAATTATTGTGACCACACTTTTTGAGCTAGTATAACAAAGTTATCATTATACATTATTTTTCTTTGCAGAGCAGAGTTATTATCACAAATAAAAATCACAATTATTCTCTTCTACCATAAGATGGGAGAATCCTTGTCCACTCTCTCTTTTTATTTAAATTAAAAATTCAAACTAGCACTCATAAATGACGAATACAAGGAGAAAAGGCAAGAACAAGAGGTATCTTCTCCCGCCCGAAAATGGTGGTATTGAGTTCATATATAACAAGGATGAGAAAGGCCGAAGTTGAGTCCCCAGAGCTGAAATCTTCCATTAATGAAATCATAGTAACCTCCCTTCAACGCCAAATTCTTATTCACCAAAGCATCGCTCACAAATGGGTATGTCAGCAAATTGGCTAGTGATACATTCACAGCTTCCTGCAGTTTATTCATTCGCAATATTATCTAATAAATTACTAGTTGATATTTAGAAACAAAAGTAAAAAAGACAATTAGTGTGAGAACACTATTTTACCTTCTCACAGCACTTAACTTGCTCTTCAAAAGTTTTATCCCCATGTTCAGCTAGTACTTTGGCCTTGGCAGGTAATCCAATTTTCACTCAATCCTCAATAAAATTACTAAATACCACACACACACACACGCACACACACACATTGTTCAGTTAAATGTTGTTTTCTTTCTGTTAATTTGTATAAATTCAATTTACTTAACGATACATACGTTGATTCAGAACCATCTTCTGGGAGTTCCATGAGAGCCTTAATACCTCCACAAGCACTGTGGCCAATGACTAAAATACTTTCTACGTTAAGATGGAGAACAGCGTATTCTATTATAGCTCCTACTCCCGAGTATTTTGTCTGTTGCAATCCAATTCCAACACAAAAGTCGAGTAAATTAACCATATGAATATAGAATAGAAAGAAGGAGCTAATGCATAAAATTTAAACTGATAAATGACCTTGTCATAAGGAGGGACCATGTTGGCGATGTTTCGAGCCATAAAAGCCTCACCGGGCAGAAAATTCAGCACATGGGATGGACTCACTCGTGAATCAGAGCAAGCAAACACCAGAAATTGTTACATGGTTGGATACTTGATTTTTCAGCTATAGAAAATTAAATTACAAAGAAAAAAAATATAATATACATCTTATACCTTGGGTTCCTATCATTTCTTGAGTTTATCAAACAGTTCTGGGTTTTTGCTGATACATGAAAGAAATTAGTTTATTAGGAATTGTCATTTCAAGAAATTGTTTTGTTTAATTATCATTGTATGAAAATTAATGACACGCTTTTAACATGTTAGGGAAAAGAAAAAGAAGGGAACATAGGGGCTTTACTCATATATCTCTGTTTTGAAATAATAAAAGCCAGTCTTGATCCTTTGAACAGGGTCGAAGGAATTGCAGCATGTCGTTTGTAACTCAGCTGTGATTTCATCAATTCTTTCTGCTACAATCGATTCCAGTTCTTCCTTTTCACTTCAATTGCATGATTTCCAAATCCAACACCCATAATTAATACTCTTGGTTTAATAAATTGCTACTTAAGTAAGAAATGTAGATTCTTAAGAAAGTGCTATTAGGTACCACACTGCATCTATTACTCCTTTAGTAATTGTTACTATGAATACTAAATTTATATAAACATATATGTTACAATATAGTTCGACTACGTATAGATATATACTTTTCTAAGAATAATCATTGAAATATAAAATATATTTTCAATAACTTTTATGAAAAACTGTTTAAGCAGCTAGATATTTCGAAACATTTTTGTTGAAGAAGTTTTAAAACAACTTTGAACAAAATTAAAGGAACAACTTTGGTTCATTTTCTAAATATTTAAAAACGAAAGTATCTTACGATTCCTTTTTAAAGCATATTTCAGTTAATGTTACAGATACGATGGTCCAAACCTGAGGAGGTTCTGGAGTGAAACAATGGCCTTCTCGTAAGTTTCCTTTGCCGTGTCTTCTCTCTCTGCAATTCCCCATTTTTATCAGAATTTAGCAAACAGACTTTTATCTCTCTCTACTTCTACTGTATATGATGAATCAAAAGGTAGAGATAGACATTAAAACAGTTGGTGAGTGGCTTATCTGAAATATGTCCAGAAACAAAATTATATGTCGGTATAGATTTCAGAAATAGCGAAAGAGGAACTATGATATTCCCAGTATTTTAAAGGCGTGAGCGTAAGGTGAGGTGTTTTATATATGCCTCAAGGAGGCGTTAGCCCCATAAATATTTAATTTTTAATATTTCATAAAATAATATAATTATCATAAATATTTTTAAATAGGTAAAATTGCATAAAAATTAAAGAAAACTATAAATAGGTGAAAAATATATACAGATGTGCTTCATCCCCACAACAAACTAGTCAAAATAATCTATTATATGTTGCTTACAAGCACAAGTAACTTGAATTGAAAAGAATAAAGTTTTCTACGTGAAGGAACAAAAAGAATGAATAACATTTGAACTTTGAACTTGTTGCGATGGATCGAGGAGAATGAGATTTCTTTGTATTTGCAACAAAAAAAAATGATTGTTCGTTTCTTTTGGGAGATAGTAGTAGACTAGTGGAGAAAACAAGTAATTGGAAAAGACCACAAATTAGGGCTTCTAGCAATAACATAAAGAAAAGGTCTTGACTTTGAGTAATTACAAGTTAACTTTTGAGAATTTAGATATTATATTAAGAACTTATTCAGAAAATTTTGTTTTAATTTGAAAAAGTTTATTTGGCTTATGCCTCACTATAAAACTCGCCTTAACGCCCGAGCGTACGCCTGAATTGCTGGGCGTATGCCTCTTGAAACTTTTGTCTCGGACCATTTTTGAGCCCTGGGGCCGCTCTGAATACGCCCTTTAAAACACTGGATAATCCATAAGGTGTACATGTTTAGCACGAAGTCTTACATAATACAAATTGTGTGGTAGTCATCACATTTGCAGGGTTGGCTAGTGTACGAGGTTATTTTATGGATTCATTAATTTTTCATACAATAAGTCAAATTAAAAACCCATTCACATAACATTAAAAGGCTAAAAGAAGGCCCTATTACTTGTTTGGCAAGAACTTTAATTTAGGCCATTGACATGTCCATGTTGGTTGATTTTCAAGTTTATTTAGAGCTACTACATGCACATGAAAGAATTGAAGAGTACACTTCAGAAGAAAATAGCTTCCCTTTTCTCTCGTTTTGTTTCTCTAGGTTCTTCATGTGTATTCGAGACAACAGCTAACTTAATTTTGGAGATTAATGATAACAAGGTAAAAGATGAATTAATGATAAGAGAGTCACGTATGCTAGCAATGCATTGTTAAAAAGATTTACTTGGCTAGATAAAAAGACATTAAAATCATCTAATTAAGTTATATGAATATGTAAGTATTTAAATTTTTGCATAGAATTGATTATACTCGGAAGAATAGGTTGTAAATTCTAGTCGCCTATAATTTCAATCAGACTATATTTCTCAATGTAAATAATTTTTATACTATATCATATCGACCAACGAATATATATAGGTAAGCTTAAAATGTGGAACTTGTAATAATCTTAAAAATAAAATAAGTTAATATGCTATAACATATAAAAATGACTTGATGATGTAAAAATCCAAGGGTATACACAATAAAAAGGGCAGCATGGTGCACTTAGCTCTCACTATGCGCGGGGCCCGGGGAAGGGTCGGACAACAAGGGTCAATTGTATACGGCTTTACCCTGCATTTCTGCAAGAGGCTGTTTCCACGGCTTTAACCCGTGACCTCCTAGTCACATGGCAGCAACTTTACGGTATACACAATATAAACTCTAATATAAGCTATATATACCGATCAAGACAAAAAGAAAGAAAGTGAATTAAGAAAAGGTGAGAAGTTATATTTATACCAAAGTGGGGTGATGATGGGAGCAGCGGCGGAAAAGAAGCTGAAGAGTTATTGAGTCTCGCAAAAAGAGAAGGGAGAAGAAATGTGGGCGGGAAATTTGGGTTTCTTTAGGCTGCAATTTATACTACTCAATTAGCTAGTAACTAGTAAAACTAGTTGCCGTGTCCTCTATCATCTTTCTTTGTTTTTGTATACAAATCATTATCATCATTTTATCTTACGTTTTAGGTATGTTACATATAAGCCAAACAATGAAACTGTTGAAAACGATTGCTGGACAAATAAGAATTTCAATCCATTCGATTTAGTCTTCTAGATGACATAACTCGCCTTACTCATTTTATTTGTAAAACATGCGCTGGGTCGGACCGCCCTAATTATAGTAACCTTTTAGTGATCACCATATCTCAATTAGCTACTAATGTAATTGAATTTAAGATTTATTAATTTAAAGTGCAATTTTTTTTTTTTTGTGATATATTAGTGAATTTAAATATGTGTTAGCACGTTAGTTGCCAATTTACCAGATAACCAATGAATATTATAGTTTACAAGTACTGACCTCATTATATAAATAATTTTCAGTGCATAAAATTTAAATTCATTGTAAGTTTTATGCCTAGCCAATAAAGTCAAGTTAATTTGGTTTGCGTGTGTGTGTGTCGTCACAAAAGAATGGACATGTTCATTCTTCATCTCGGTTGGAAGATAAGATGTTATGTAGTTATGTTACTCTCCTCGTAATTCTCTTTTTATGTTTACAAAATAATATTCTACCTAGAAATTCAAATTTAAAACGAAATACGGGGTTCTCAAACAAGTGTTATGAGTATTAAATAGTATTAGAAGTACCAAAGTCTCTAATATTAAATAGCAGGAAAGAGATAATACAAATAAAATTTTCAATGTATAACCTATGGCTTAGCTTTTCCTAACACCTAAAACATCTAGCTTCTTCTTCTTCTTCTTCTTCTTCTTCTTCTTCTTCTTCTTCTTCTTCTTCTTCTTCTTCTTCTTCTTCTTCTTCTTCTTCTTCTTCTTCTTTTATTTTTTTATTTTTTTTGTTTATAATCAAAGCCACCTTAATTAGTGGTGGAGGTTAAGCTGACCCTTACCAGTTACCATAATAAAAGTAACTAATAGCAAAATACATGTACGAGAGGAATGTGTAGTCTAGCCTTTCCAAAAAAGAAATTGTAAGATTTGACAGACCTCAATCTCTACAGCCTGTGAACTTATGGACATCTAATATCCTCCTACGTACATCTTACGGACATCTACTGTGTATTTAATACAAGCCAAATGTGAAAACAGCTGCTAAAATACTACTGAAAATTGATCGAACAAGATAGGAAAATCCGAAAACGAGAACAGATAAATAGAAAAATCTGAAAACAAGAACAGATAAATGGAGAATGGTAGATGAGAGACAAGCTATATATTGCTACTAGTGGTTTTGTATCGGTAGAAGGATCACATTCTGACGCGGTTCGCAGCTGGTTGAAATCTTCTTGAAATTTTCAGGAGTTGTAGTATTATTTGTGATAATTGTTTAGTTGTTTAGCCTGTACTACTATAGAAGCGGATCTAGGATTTCAAGAAGATGGGTGCACCATAACGACGAGCTTGAGACAACTCATGGATGCAAGATGTTGAATATGTAATCCACAATTGCTAAGCTAAGGTTTGAGAGTCGTACATGATGAGATAGGGTGTTAGACAAGAGATATTGGAGGATAATGATTTTTTATGAGTTTAATGATTAACTATACAACAAATATGAAAATATTTTTTCTCTATCTAGAAGTCAATTACCTGTAATTATATGTAACATAACAAGATTTACAACTTCTAAAGACATATATTACAATGGATAAAATTTCTTTATACTTAATTTGCTAGAACATATATAATCTAAATCTTCAGTAAAAGGGAATAGCAAATTTCGAAGAAAAGAAAAACAGAAAATAAAGAAACAGGAGGGAATAACATAGCTAACTTGGAAAATAACAAAAAGAAAAGAAAGAAAAAAGAAGATCTTCTGGGGAAAGGGGGGAAAACGAAAGAAAGAAATTAAAAGATCAAGAATGCGTAGCAAATTTTGGAAAAACTAAAAAAGAAAAGAAAGAGTTAAAACAAAATAACATTGGTTCGTAAACACATAATGGTTGTAAAGGAAATATCCACGCAAGCAGTGCCTTAGTTCACATGTATTCTTAACTTAACCATAGTTAGGTCATTATAATTGTAGTTAGTTCATTAGTCTAATACATGTACAACTGTATATGAGTTGGCACTTGTTAGTTGGTCACTGTAGAAGGTAGTTAAATAGTACTGTACATTCTAACTCAGACATATCGAAGAAGAAAATTTCATTCTTTGCTCTTCTTCACTCAAGGTGCTCTTCTCTTCTCTGAATTCAATCATTCTTTCAGCTCAATCATGAGAAATTAACATGGTATCAGAGCAGTTAATTGAGTGATTCTAAGGAATTTTCGAGCAATTAAGGAAAATTCGAAGGAATTCGCTCATTTCTGTTCTCTTTAGAACCCTAATTTTGTGCAATTGCAGTTTTTTTGGCACTTTGATTTGACCTAATTCATGGCGATCTCTGAAGAATCAAGCAGTACTGTGAATGACAGAGCCAATACAGCCGGAGGATCCACGATTCTCGATCATAATCACCCGTTATATCTACATCCTTCCGATGGACCTGGATCCATGTCGGTAGGGCTTATACTAACTGGAATGGAGAATTATACTCTCTGGAGTCGGGCCATGAAGGTCGCCTTGTTAGGAAAAAATAAATTGTGTCTAGTCGATGGATCGACTTCAAAAGAGGATTTTGGATCAGATCTAGCACACTAGTGGGATCGATGCAACGCGATAGTGACCTCGTGGTTAATGAGCAATGTTAGTAAGGATTTGATAACTAGAGTACTTTTTTCATCTAATGCTCGTACAGTGTGGGCTGCGTTCAAGGAACGTTTTGATAAAGTAAATGGATCAATATTATACTATCTACACAAGGAAATCTTCACTATGACTCAGGGAATTAGTTATGTTTCTACCTATTTTACAAAGCTCAGAGATCTGTGGGCAGAGTACGATTCTATTTTACCACCACCTCCCGCAGCAGAGTATGTTGAGCAGTTAGAATATCAACGTCTGTTACAATTTCTCATGGGATTAAGTGATAGCTTTGAACAAGCTAGAAGTCAAATCCTCTTAATGCCTACCTTGTCGTCTATCAATAAAGCATATGCCATGGTAGTTCAAGATGAAAGCAGGCGGATGATCACTGGTACCAATTATGGAAATGCAGGGAACATTGAGCCTACTGCTCTGTTTACTGCACAACCAAGAAACAAACAAAGAAGAAAGCATAGTTTGGAATGTGACTTTTGTCACCTAAAAGGACATACTCGAAAAGATTGATATAAACTAATGAAATGTGATTTTTGTAATAAAACAGGACATTTGAAGGATAAAATGCTACAAGATCGTGGGTCATCCTCCAGATTTCAAGTCAAAGGGAAAAGCAAATGCTGCCTTATTAAGTGAACAGCCTCAGACCACACAAATGCCTAATCAACAGATAAGCAGTGCAATAGTTCCAACTCAGTTCTTCACACAAGACCAGTACAAACAACTATTACAACTGTTGAACAAGAATTCTGTTGGAGATGCCAGTGCTCACATGGCAGGTAAATGCTTTTGTGGCAATGTAGAATTATGTGAAAATATGGTACTTTGCAAATGGATTGTAGATACTGGTACTACGAATCATATAACTGGTTCTAAAGACTTACTACATAATAAACAATCAGTAGGAAACACAGGATAAGTTCAATTGCCTGCTGGAGATTCAGCCACAATTTCACACATGGGAGAATGCCAACTCACAGGAGGTGATACTCTTAAGGATGTTCTTTGTGTTCCAACTTTCAAGTTCAATCTTTTGTCAATATCTAAGATGACAAAGGACTTGAAATGCTGTGTCACATTGTTTCCACAATGTTTTGTATTTCAGGAACTCTTGTCTGGGAAGGTGAAGGGGATTGGTAAGGAGGAGGAAGGACTATATGTTCTATCTATATCAGTTGGAGGAAAAGTGAATTGAGCCTTTGCAGCAACTAGTGGAGCAAGTGCAGACTTATGGCATAAGCGAACAGGACATGTTCCAATGCAAGTTCTTAGGAAAATTCCTAGCCTGCTGAATAATACCAATTTCTCTTATAACAATCAATTGAATTAGTGTGAGATATGTCCACTAGCAAGACAGACTAGAGTACCATTTCCACTTAGTAAGAGTAGAAGCTTATCTAGTTTGTACTTGATACACATGGATGTTGGGTCCTATAAGTCCTACTCACAATGGCATGCGTATTTTCCTTANTGGCATGCGATTTTTCCTTACTTTGGTGGATGATTACACTAGATGGACTTGGGTGTTTCTTATGCAACTAAAATCTTATGTAATGTTTTTACTCAAAAACTTTATTGCTTTGGTCAAGACACAGTATGGTAAGACTATTAAGGTGTTTAGGTCGGATAATGGAGGAGAGTTTTTTAATCATTCCTGCAAGGACTTATTTCAATTGCATGGCATTGTACACCAGAGTTCTTGCCCATACACTCCTCAGCAAAATGGGGTAGTTGAATGAAGATATAAGCACATACTTGAGACAGCCAGAGCTATTAGATTTTATTGTTGGTTGGTTAATTGGTCACATTTTATTCATGAAATGGCTTGGATTGGTATTAGTCTGGATACGGCAAAATCATTCTATTAGATCGAATAAGTACATTCGATCTAATAAG